TGAAAAAAAACAAGCCGCAGCTGAAACTCTGCAGGAGAAATTAAAAGATGGGGGTGTAGTGTTGGGAGTGTTTTTTTATGATGATGTGGAAGGGAGATCTTTTATCATTGAGGCTGATGGAGGACCAATTGCTCTGGGTGGTGTGCTCATTCAGAAAGATGAGAATAAAAAAGAGAGACCTTTGAAATTTGAGAGCATGACTCTTAACTCTACAGAAAGAGGTTATACTAAATTCAGAAAAGAGTTGCTGGCAATTATCCATAGCCTCAGATGCTTCAGGCATTATGTACTAGGGAGAAGATTGATCTTGAGGACTGATGCATCTGCTGTGATTGGTGCCATCAAGAAACACCAACAAGTAGATCCAACAGTCAGCAGGTAGATTGCTTTCATCTAAACTTTTGATTTTAAGTTGGAAAAATTTCCTACTGAGAAGAACAGAGCAAATGGCTTAAGCAGGATTGAGTGGAAAAAAGAAGAAGAAGAAGATATAAACGGAACGATTGAAGAATCAAGCTATGTTGATAATTTTCTGAATGAAAAGGATGATGAAGACTATGAAGTACCACGCTCCTATAAGTGGAGTTTGTGGCCTGAAGAGAGAGACAACTGGAGAGAGATCCCTAATGCCTATGTTTATGACTCGATTCTTGAGAAAGAAGAAGAGGATGAACCAAATGATTGGTATACTAGGGTTAACGTAGCTGCTGTGATTGCTCATGAAATGGGGAAAAACTCTGGTTCAAAAGAAGAAGAAGAAGGTGAAAAGGAGAAGGCAAAGATATTTTTCATTTATGAAGAATACGACGAAAGTTATTAAGAGATTGGCAAGAAGATGGAAAGAGAACAGCTAAAGGAATATTATTGTAAAAACTCAAGGAAAAAGTTCAGATTAAAAAGAGGACATCTATTTGTGGATGGTAAGGTAGGACTACCTGCACTAAGAGTGGTCTGTGGTAAAGAAAGACAATTAGAGATAATTGATGCTCTACATGAGGGGGTTGCAGGTGACCACAGAGCTGCTGAGGCAACCTACTCTAAGACTGTCAAACTCTACTTCTGGCCTGGCATGAGAGACATGATTTTCAAATTTTGTAAGTCATGTGTGTTATGTCAGAAGAGGTATACTACAAAAATGATTGAACCTTTATTTTCCACTATTCTGGTGGAGCCAAGGAGTCGAATTCATTTAAATCTCATCACCATGTCATTAGGCAAGGGCGGGATGAGATATATACTGAACATGAGAGATAATTTATCTAGATATGTTGAGGCAAGAACTCTGAAAATGAAGACAGCCGAACAAGTGGCTGACTGGATAGAGGAAGTCTATCTCAGGTATCCTTTCATCAGAGAGTTTGTCTCAGACAGAGGATCATAGTTCAAAAATGAAATTGTAAGAAGAACCACTCTCAGATTGGGTGTCAGAATTCGGTATGTGACAACTTACCATCCTCAAGCGAATGCGCCAATCGAGAGAGGTCACATGACCTTGAAAGATTCATTGGCTAAGTGGTGTGAACGAAATCTCAGTAATTGGCCGAAAGTATTAAGAGTTGCAGTTTATGCTGACAATATAACAGTCAAGAGGACTATTGGCTATGCTCCATTTACTCTGTGGCATGACCGATATGCTACATTGTCAATTGAGAACTTAGTCAACACATAGTCAAGTCAAGAAAGTGACAGAGACTATTATATCTTTGAGCTCCTCCAGATCAGAATGAGGCAAATATCAGAAGTTGATCAAGCAATGATGAATGCGGAAGAGAGAATGACATCCAATAGATTATCAGATCAAGAGAGATGAAACAAAAAAATATATATAAAAAAAGAGAAATTGAAAGTTGGTGATGTTGTCCTTCTGTTCGACAGTTTTCTTGAGACTCAATGAACTAAAAGGTTGGAGCCCAAATGACTTGGTCCTTACAGAATCACAGGAATGGATTCAGCGTTTACGACATGGTGTCAGGGTCAAAACTTCGTAAGTTCATCTTCAGAGACCCTGATTTAATCCCTACTATGACCTCAAAGAAAGGGAGGAAAGGTCGGCCGTCCAAGTGAGAGAACAGTTTCAGAGAACTGAGAGAAAAGTACGGTAAGACAGTGAGAACAGCAAGACTGAATTTTCAGCAGACTGTGATAATTTTTGTATGGTCAATTCAGTATTTCAATTTTTCAGCATGTCAGTTAATTTTCTGTTTCAACAAGCAACAGAGTCAATTAGACTATATCTTTGATGCAGGGCTACATTCGATCCATGAGTGTCAAGTCCCTGAGAGTTATCCTTATGATAAAGAGAAAAACATGATGGGCATAAAGAAGTTCAGTTCTGTCTGATCGAGAGTTATTGGCGGAAGGACTTCGTGTCTCTTGACTAAGTTGTTCATTCAAGAAATTCAGATGAGGACAGACATAAAAAAATTCAGCTTTACTTGACTGAGAGTTGTCAGTAAAGGGGCTTCGTGTTTCTTATCTAAGTTGTCTGTCTTCACTCAGATGAGATCAGCATTTCAGTATTTCCTTGAGACTGACGGGACGTCTCTTGGAATAGAAATTCCCAGCTGAGGGAAGAGACCTCTCTGGGGCAAACACTAAGCATCTTTCTTTAGGCTGAAGGGAGGTCTCCTACAAGGGCTTGATGCTGGTTATCATGTTGCTGTTCAGTGCCTCTTGAGACTGAAGTGACGTCTCTTGAGAAATGTTTGTCCTGTTGTGGGGCACTAACAGTCTGCTTGTGGGTTATGATGTGCTTGCCTGATCGTCTTTGCCTGAGATCTTCTTCTCTAACTTAAAGATGCATTGATTGCCGGGGCCAGTCAGAGCTTTACTGCAGTAGGTTGCAATTTGGTGGGGTCAGCAGGTCCCCGACGCGAGTGTCGAATTCCGTAGTCGACTGAGGCTAAGACTCCGGGGGTCTGGCCTGTGAGGTCGAAAGGGGTCGGCTGAAACCCTACCGCAGTCAGAGGATGCAATCCAGTGAGGTTCACCAGAGCCTGGAACTGTGGTTAAACCGAGTCCCACGTTAAAAAATATGGGCGGGGCAGCCAGCGCCCTAGGCAAAAAACTGCTTCATATATGGCTTGGTAAAAATCTGGGAAGTCTCCTTTTTTAAAGGGAGTGCTGCCCAAATTTTTGCTAATTCAGTGAGTTAGAGAAAATTGGACTTTAAAAAGTTAGAGGCTATTTCTGTCTTCATATTCGGGCTGATATAAATTTTGGAAAGACATTTTTCCTACGGGAAGCGCTGCCGAAATTTTCTTAGTTTGAAAGAGATAGATTATATTTTGACAGGTGACGATTCTGGTTATCCACCCTGAATAGGGGAGCTTCTGTCATTAGTCTACCTTTGCTTCGGGCACTTGTTTACGGGTAGACTTAGACTTAAGATCGCGATATGGAGACTATTCTCCATTGACTTATAGATCTAGCTTGGGGATTGACCTATCTTGTGTTACAGGTCCTCTTAATCGTACTGATTCAGGATTTGGGTTAGTAGATTCAGCTTGATCCTACAAGGATCATCTTCTGTTATCACTGATAACAGGTCGGTTGTCGATTCGTCGGTTTGCGATTCGACTCCAATTCACTCTTGTCACTCAACCTAAAGGCTTTAGCCTTGTGGTTTGAATTGTTTCATTGTGTTTTCACCCGGACTTTATTGAATGACTGTTTAATAAAGTACTGAGTATTTATTTTGGGGAGTTGCACAAGAGTGAGGTTTGTATGGCTAAAGCAAGGGGTATGAGCATAGAGGATGGTTGAAATTGACCCCGTGTAGTGCGTGAACTTTTGTTGAATCTTTGATGTGATTGCATGTATGTTTGTGGTTCGGACTCTGGATGAGACTGTTTGCGATTACATACATAAATGGCTGAGAGGAGTCCCACTGTAACTGTGAGAAGTGATCGTCTTGCATAAATAAACCTTACGTATATATTTATATGTGCCTTGGGTATGTGCGCGGCTTGCTGCGATCGCGCATAAGGGTTAGCCGGAATTATGGCTTGAGAGAAAAGGGAATATTTTTAGAGACTTTTATAGTCGGACGTTGGTCCTGGGCCAGGATTAAAGGTCCTTGTCCAGGACATCCCAAGCCCTAGACTCTGTCGAGAAGGAATTTGCCCTCATGCAGAGCCTATTTGCCTTGCCTACCGAGACACTCAGACCAAAGGCCGGAGGGCTCGCGGGGGTTGCACGACTATTCCTTCAATCGTGCAATATCGTGAGGGATTAGACCCTCACGACACTTCGAGTCTGACACTTGAGTGTCATAAGCGGTACTCGGATCCATGAGGGACCGCTTGATTATGGACACTACATAGTACACCATCATTTCGACTGCTTGCGTACGCTTGCATTGCAAGTCGATATGAGTTAGTGCTGTGTCCACGCGGTTTTATACTAAGTCTCGCGCGCGACGCCTATCCGATTTCTGCATCGGAGAGTTATGGGATGGCTAGTGAAGGGACTAGGAGTGTTGTCGCGTTGTTTGATGTGCGTGTGTGTRTTTTATTTTTGTGTTCGTAAAGTGGTGTGCGCGTGGTGAGTGGGATACGTCCTAGTCGACCGATGACGGACCTCGCTTGGGATTTCAGGCTCCCCAGCGCGTCGGTTCGTGTGCAGGTCCGATAGAGGCGTATTACCGGGCGTACCCCCTATGCTACAGCGAACGAGAAACTCCCTCGGCTGGTCCACCTCTGCGATTGCAGCTGATCAACTTTCGTACTGTGCACTGGTAGCTCGGTGGGGATACGCCCACCAACGGGAGGTGGCAACTCCCGTAAGGTGGAGGTAAGTCGTGCCTCGCGTAGGYCCTATCCTGTCGTAGGGGCTCGCGAGAGGTATGGCTGGCGCACTCGGCCGGAGCGGTTTGCGGAAGCTCCATGTACATTGTGACGAAGGATTTAAACCAACTCCTGCGTGACACGACCGGGAGGGTCCTGCGCTGCCCCGTGCGGTGCCGGACCGATGCGCTCGACAGGTGGTGTCGTTGCCGGGGATAACGGTTGCCTACGGTTGTCCCTGGTGGAACGACATCCGGGTATGGGAAGTGAGAAATAGGCAAACTGAGAAGGTTCTTTGGGTTTTACGGATTAATCGATTGATGGGGTTGGATAGGGAGCGAATAAGGGTTGATCGTGCGAGTTGACGTTGCTTGATGAAGTAAGGGTGACAAGAGAGTGATAGGCGTTTTGACTACGCACTTACGTACTCTGACTAGCATGATGGTAGTTTGAGTTGAGTATTGTATTTGACTCTGATAGTTGATTGGCTTGGGCGGTGTTTTGCTTGATTGATTTAGCTGAGGTGAAATGGGATGATGCCAATGTGACTGGGCAAGTTTGTTGTGGGAGTTAGCCTCATAAGGTATATATTATGGCTAAGGGAAGTTACCCGAGTGGTCAAGAGAGCAATGGGGTACTTTGGCTTTATGGCGTGGTAGAGGGTGAGTAAAAAGGGAGCCGATTATGTTAGAAGTCATCGAAGGGACTTCGTGGACAGTTAGGCTAAGGAGGGCGAAGGCCTTATGAGCATAGGTTAAGATCCTTGAGTCTGGGTTTTAATCAGTTGTTCGACTACGGGACGTAGTAAGTCTGTGTAATACCTTCTTTGCGAGGAGGGTATCTGATCGTAGAGGCAGTCGGGGTAACATTAAAGGAGCTAACACCTAGATTATTTTGCTTAACTTCGGTGGGGCAATGGGTAGTAAATGATGTTAGATCTTCGCCTGGAACTTTCCTAGGTTTGGACCATCCACTTGAATCTATGAGTTGGAACAAAGGACTTGAGGCTAACTGCCTGAGGGCATTTCTATTTGAGTTATAAGTTGAGCTTATTCCTATATGTCGGATACTGTCTTAGTAGGCTTGCCTAACGTCTGATTGTGTGAGGTTATGTGCTTGATGATTATACTTCCCTTAATAATTTATCCTTGTCAGAAGTATTTACATGGGCTAGGTATCTGAAGTATGTATTTGAACTATGCAGTCTGCAGAGATTTATATGAGTGTCTCAAGTCCAATTATCGACTTACGACTGTTTATTAAGTCTATGTGTTTGGATTGCTCCTCAAAAGGGGGTAGGAATATTAGACAGAATCCAAATCTGATGCGAATTCAAAGGTGAATTGAGTGAAATTTTTGATATCTATGAATGCAATATTATCGGGATATATTACCATTATTATTTTTCTCTGAACTGGGTGGTTATAAACACTGGAAATGATGAATTTTAGTGAAAGATGATATGAAGTTAAGGCTTCAAGGGTAGGGATTGTATATTGCGATCGCCAGCATGGTAACGGAAGGCGTATGCTGGACGTTTTTTTGTGATGGGCAGAACCCAGACCAGAGGGAAGGCAACTCATGATGCCTTATGCTAGGGAAGATCACAATGTGGTCTTGCCTGTTAGAAAGGAAGGACTCGAGGCATCCTTGCCGAGGAGAGTCAAGGAAGGAGAGTACATCTCTTCCTGGTGGAGCACACTGATAGGCGGGGGTATCTTCATCTGGATCGAGTCCGGTTTTTATGATAATGAAGATTGTGCGATCATAAGGGTAACCCTGTATAGGCATGAGGTCGAGCTGGCACTTGAACACGGGAGTATGCTTGCGAGGCCATTAAGGATAGCTGAGGGGGCCATGGACAAATGGGCAAGGGACAGGGTCCAGGAAGGGGAAGAGCGAGTAGTAACCCATGTAGAAGTCAGACGTGCCGATGAGTTTAGGCTTCCTTCTGCCCCGGTCTGCCCGAATTTCGAGCAGAGGAATGTTTTGGGGGACAGGAAAGGATAGAGGTTGCAGTAGAAGCTGCTGTGAGGACGCGAGAATGGGGGTACGCACGATATACGTGCGAGCTGATATATGGGTTGTACTTGGACCAGAGATTTTTTCCCTATAGCCAAGAACTCAGGGACATTGCCAATGTGGTCGATGCCTATGCGAGCTCCCATTATCCTGATGAGGAGGTTGTAAACTGGGACGAGGTCCGTGCGGTGGCTGGCCGATAGAGGGTGGCTTTGTATCCTGCCAGAGGGTGTCCTTTATGGGCTTGTGCACATAGGTGAGTATGAGAGCAGGGTTGGTAGACTAATCGATTGCGTGAATTGAACACCTATGTTTTAGTCGGCGGGGTCATGACGGTATGTCGAATGGGCCATGAGGCATGTATATATGTATTTTAGTGCATGCGGTGTATATACCGGATCCTAAGAGACTCCAAGTTAGCCTAGGTAGGCTTGCTCTCGAACCTTGTGTCTACCCAAAGGGTAGGTTGGTTAGAGTAGAAGGGGGGGGTCTCGCCTATGATATGAGTAAGGGCATCAATAACGCTTGTGACCTCGATGACTGTCCGCCCAAACCTGGCTTTGAGGGCCCTGCCGATGTGAGGTGTATGTTGTCTATAGGACCCTCTAGCTAAAGTTAAGGTCATATGGCGTAGATGGAGAGAGGGTTGGTGTGAATTAAGAGTTAGCCATCTCTACTAGCCTTTTGTTTTGACTTTCTTGCGTCACAACCTGATGATCGATTGCTTGTCCTGCGTGCCAGGCCGGTACCAGCATCATGGCCGAAGAAAGTGGGTTTGCCAAAATCCTACTCTGGAGAAGTACCTGCTTCAGTAAAGTGTTGTTGTGTTGGTCAGTGAGCAACTCGATGCCCCCAGAACTTCGCGTCTTGCTGGTTCAGGGAAGAAAATTGTCTGCCTTCCTACGCGGCTATCATGCCTTCGGTCTCATGAAAAGGTGGGAGGAGAAGGTGATGTGGAGCATGTTGCCACTGTTTGTCCGCGAAGAGTTGAGTGAGGAGGTGTATACCCTTATGCTAAAGTCGCAGACCTGGGATGAGCTGGAAAGTTCCCTGAAGATGAGATTTCCAGAGGATGGAGCGGAAGGCCAGCTTGGTGAAGACCTTGAGCAACCAGCTGAGGTTACGTCAACACAAGGAGAGTTGAGTGATATACAGAGGCAAGTTGGGATGTTAGAAGAAAGGTTGATGCGATTGGAAGAAGCCCGGTGTGGCAAGAGGAAGGCCTCTGAAGGAGCATCGAGTGGGCCGGTTGGGCAGGGTGAGGCAGAGGCAGGGGAAGTTCATCTGAGGTTACTCCTCCACAAGGGAACCTCGAAGGGGCGAGCCTGCGCCCCGGAAAGAGGCGAAGGCGAGGGGTTCATTGAGGTAAAGGAGGAGCGGGAATCTAGTATGGTCTTGCCTATCATTGCGCCTGATCCGAAGAGAGGGCTCATCAACGTGGAGACATCCTCAGCTGCGAGTCGGAAGGAGCAAAAGAGTGAGTGGTGGACAGAGCATTGGGCAAGGGCGGTATGTGATCGTTGGGGAAAGATTGGCCGCACCCCTCAAGGAAGTAAAGAAAAGGGTGTAATGGGAGAAAAATGGAAGCCTGAACCTCCCAAATTGACAAAGGCTCAGCTGAAGGCGAGGAATCGGGCCCAGGGAGGCCAAGGTACCGGAAAGGGGCAGGGCATGCGGGAGGAAGGGGCCATCCCGCAAGAATTGGGAGGAAAGCCATCACAGGCGGGGCCTCTGCCGACTGAGCGGGCATTATACGGGTCGTGGACACCATACGGTCAAGTGGGACCAAGGCCTATATATAATCCATATCTGTCCTGGATGCAAGGCCTGTGTTTGGGCCCACAAATAAGTATGATACCGCCTAGGCCTCCCGCAGTCCAAATTCGGCCAACTCTGCCTATGGGACTGTTGCAGCCACCGACACAGCGGGTGCCACAAGGCGACATGGTCGGTGCGGAAAGCCAGAGGCGGGGAGCTCGAAGAGGCCGCGGGGATGGAGGGCGCAACAATAAAGGACGAGGTAGCGGCAGAGGAGGCACTGGAGGGCGCGATGGACGCCAGTGGAACCACAAGGGGGATGTGGGGAAGAAAAAGGCATGACAAGCAGCAGTTGGACGGAAGTCGGGTAGGAAAGGTGGCCAAGGGAGTGCCAAAGGGAGAATAGGGTGACTGAAAGATGTAAAGAGGTGATAGAGGAGGTGAGATTAGAGAGAATATAGTAGTGTGAGGGAAGGGAAGATTCTAACTCGTGAGCCGATAAGCAATCAATCAAGGGATAATCCTGGACCGCTTTGGGCTGGTTTACTATAATAAATTAAATCTTGTATATGTGAACGTAGAAATAGGCTAGCGCGATTGTTGATCGTGTGGTCCCATGCCTCACATTTGAGCTAACAAGGATCTGACTGTATACTAAATAAGCTGGGAAGAGTGTATACACTAAGGTGTTGTGAGTGTATATGAGACCCTAAAGAGACCTTAAGGTAGGTGGGGTAAGTGGCTCCCAGGTTCTTATGACTGCTTAGGGGTAGGATGGCTATAGCGTGATCAAAATGTGAGAGTGGGTCATGAGTGTAGGTAGTATGTTGTGCTAAAAGACCGTGTGAGGATGCGATATGGGTTAAGGACCACTGATTTAGCTTGATCATGGTAGTTGGCTCCCTTAGGCATGTACTTTAAGGATATCACCAAAAGGTTCAAAGTAAAATGGTTGTGCTTGGGGGTTGAGTTCGCTTTTGGCCGCACGACCCTGAATTATAAAGGTATACATACCCATGCGCTTGTAAATAGGGTATGCGTGGAGGCTTGGTAGGGTTTGAGTTTGAATTCGCGTAGCTTTAAGGCCTCGAGGGTGCTGTGACGAGATATGAGCGGGGAGTATGAGCAGCGCTTTGACTCGAGGTTGTTGTGAACTTACAATTCATTGAGACATGATAGGCCTTGGGTCATTTAAAATTTAGGTATGTCTTGAGTTATACAAATTTTTTTTTTACAGGTGAGGGGTACGATTACGCCCTATGTGGACCTGCTTTAGTTAAAGGCTCTAGCCAGAAGGGAGGCATCCTTTGTGTGATACTGGTGTCGATTTGAGTCGGGAGTATTCGACTTTAAGTGTATACAAGCAGTTCAAGACTATATTTGTTCGCCTGAGTTGGGATGTTATACCCTTGAGGGTATCTGAGTTGGAACGTTGTCTAAGACTATTTTTTTATATATGACGATCACAATCACTCTCACATGTGTGGATTTTATCTTGATGAATGGTGATTTTGTGTGGATTTTGTGAGAATGAATGGATGTGAATTGTCTACTCTCCAGTATACTCGTGCGATCTGCCCACAGACGGGTGATAGGGCCGAGTATAAGGAGAGGCAGTGCAGTTCGTTGGGTGACAGAAGTGTGAGAATCCTAAGGGATTTTGCGAGTCTATGAGACTCGAATACTTACCATGTCGGATGTTTTATGGTTGAGTTGCGAGGAGGGCCCATAAGCAGGTCCCTCAATTGAGTTGTGGAGAGGACCCATAAGTAGGTCTCTCAGTTTGAGTTGTTTTATGGTTGAGACCCCTTCAGGTTAAGGAAGGTAGTAATGTTGTTTATCGGAAGACTCATCTCCAAAAGGGAGGTGTTTTAAAAAGGGTCGCGTGATAGCTCATCCTAGAAAGAGAGGGATGGTTGGGATACCTATTGGGAGAGACCTCCTTCGTGGGAAAGGTGGTTCATAGATTTAAGGGCATGGTAAGCAAAGTTTGAATTGATAAAATCTGACGAAAGGAACCAGAATTACGGATTGTATCATTGGTGGAACTAAGAAGGTCGCAAGTCAGTGCATTAAGATGTCGTGGGATGTGTGGTCTGTTAGCTCTAATCAAGTCAGTGGGCCACGACCTTGTGTGAGCCTAGCGGTGAATTTGTTTGTGATCGTGAGAAGGGGTCGTGCTTTCTATGTTGTCCCATAAGGAGCTGGTAAACACCTTTAAAAGTGAGACAGACCCCTGCGTAGTCCCACAGCGGGCCTGTGGTCTGTTCTGCGACGCACCGTCTAGACACTCGTGTTAATCCTAAGGCATATTGATGAATACCAAGCTAAACGGTAAAGGTTAGCACCTCTAGGGCGCAACCCCTATTGGATCGCTGCAAGCCAGCACAACCTGGCTGCGGAACCACGTCTACCAACGGGGTAAGAGTTTAAGGGGTTATGCACGCCCCAGGGAATTACTCCGGTTGAATGGCGGGGAATATGAGTCGAATCTTTTAGGAATCATGATTGAATGTTTATCAAGAGGATACCTATCGTTGCATAACCAACAAGAGGATACTACCGCTAAAGCAACAGTGCGGTAGGCCGTAGATCTGGCTCGATCAACCAGACTATGGTGGGCCAGGATGAAGACCTAGCATTTTTGTACTAGACTACAGAAAGAGCTGAGATGAGATTTAAGTATATATATATACATATGCTTTTGATTGTGAGGATTTTCGCGAGGAAGGCGAGAGTGCCTTCTGGGATCTCTTTGAAGGCCCGCGTCCCTGGGTATGACTCTGCTTACGAGAAAGAGTCTAGCCGGGACACTCAATGAGAGGCTGGCGTTTGTCTAGGACAAGGGGGAGAGGACAGTTTAGAGGGCCTTTGGAACTTATGTTGTAGTACCGATGCGTAGTACACCGGCGTCCTAGTGTCAAGATAATGGAGACCCAGGTTAAAACCCTGGTGGCATACAGTTGTGTGGGCACAGATTGTTGGAGGCCTCGAACCTGAGTCTGTCGGCTAATCGGATTGGTTCCTTTCTCGTCAGCATTTGGAATGTGGATAGATTTATAGCTTTCTGATTTGGCGAAGCGACGGGGACGTCGCTTAATATGGTCTGGTAAGCTGTCGGGGCGAATACCCTTACAAGTATTCCGTGCGAGGCGGGGTTCTGTCTGTGATTTATGTTACCTGGATAGTTGACTAGGATAAAGAGTGTGTGGGCGGGCGGATTTGAGGCGCGCATGATCCTTTTAGTTGATGATGATTGAAGAGTCGGCGTGATCGCCGGCCGAATGTTTTTTTTTATTTTATTAAACAGGGATTAAAAAAATTATGGCTCGTTGATTTATGTGCTTGCCTGTGACCTGTGCGTACGTGCGGAGGACAGCATCGACAACAATGCGACTTCTGAAGGCGTTTCGGTAGCTTGGCGCGTCGCGCAGTGTCCGCTTGTTTAGGCGTCCGCTGGAGCTAGACCCAGACTTGGGCCTAGCATTATTGGTTACGGCATCGGACTTCTATCTGCGGGGTTCACGGATCGAGGTCGAGCGGCGGCGACCCGCGGTCATTAAAGTAGTACAAGGAAGGCCGAGGGATTGAGGGCCCGACGGGGCTACCCCTTTGGTTTTGCCGATGGCGACGTCGAGGCGGTGTTAGCGTTTTTCTTTTTCCCCGCCTGTCATCCTTTGACGATTAGCATTTTTCTAGATATTCTATTATTTTTGTCGTCGTCCGCCAACCACGAATTAACCGCGGTGCGACGAGCACCGTGGACCTTAAAGTCCTCATTTGAATGTTTGCTACTACCGTAAAGACCTGCGTCGGGCCATTTCACTTAGGCCCGCGCTTGGGCGCCCACAAGACCCACGCCTCGGCTCCGCAGATTGTTATGAGAGGCCGGAGTGGGACTTACCCGCGGCAAGGCCGAAGGGGTGGTGGGCCTTGCTTGGAGGAGAGGGGGTAAGGGCGAGCGGAGCAAACCAGAGACTGGGCACAGCGGAGGCAGGGGAGTGCAGCGGCATAGCAAAAGTGCAGGGAGCGAAAGGTACCAGGTCAGGTGGGAACTGTGAGAGGGGGGCGGCTGGTAGAATGAGAAAGGTCGGGTGCACGCCGCTGTCGGGTTGTGAGGCAGAAGGAGTAATAACGCAAAAGGGCCGACGGTCGGAGCGCTGCGGGGCAGTTATTGGACGGGCGTTGAAGACAGTAGAAAACACAATAAGGCAGCGGGGCAGCGCAGTGGGAGGCAAGGCGGAGCTGCCAGAGCAGCCGCTGGGCAAGGGAGTAGGAGGGGGATAAACCGGGACAAGAAGGTGTGTTGGGTGCATGCGGAGGAAGAAGGAGACCGGCGGGGGCGGTGAGAATGTCGGACGAACCACTACGTCGGGTGCTGTCGGACCGGTGGTAGTGGGGACAAGCGGAGAGGGGCGGCCTGAAGGTTGGGCGCAGGCGCGAACGGGAAGCAGTGCGGAGGGACAGAGGGCGACGGAGCAAAGAGGGAAAGCTGGTGCAGACGGATAGTGAGGTAAAAAGGCGGATGGATCTGGCTCGTTTTCAAGCCAGATGTGGTCGAAATTGGAGATGGGGGGGAGGCAGGTGAGGCGCATCAAGAGGAGCTTAACTCGCTCGATCCTTGTCGGAATCGAGCGAGAGAAGAGGCGATTCTGAAGATTCTGGGTAGGGAGAGCTCATTAGTAGGATCAGATTTAGTGGAAGGTTAGTAGGAAGAGAGATGGGAAGAAAAAGTATGCGCTAAGCTATGGCGGAGCAAGGAGATGGGAGGAATGAAAAAAACATATCTCCCTCAGTCCCAAACGGAATCGGGTCAGGGAGGGATCGGATCGGGGGGGTTTAAGGGTGGCGACTCAAAATGTACTGTTAGATTTAGACGAAGGTTAGTAGGTTAGAAGGTTAGTGGGAAAAGAACTGCGGGAACGTAGCCGGAGGCAGCAAAGAAGGAAGGGGATGGGAGTTGCACATCTAGCCCGTTTCTAAATGAAAACGAGCGAGCAAAGGTTCAATTTCTGGGTTTTGGGGCGACGCGAGCGCGATGGCGGTGTTAGATTTGGCAGTAAAGGGTTAGTTTTGGAAGTATAGGTTGTGGGAGCTGCGCGCAGGAGGAGAGGCTTCGATGTGGGAATGTATCTTTCCGTGTTCTAGCAGAAGATTCATTCTGATTTTTGCACTCTGGTTTTGCCGATCCTATCGATGGAAGCAGTGTGGACCAGCCGAGCTGCGCAAAGAGGGGGCGGAGAGAGAGAGACTTACCGAGTGAGGCATTTGATGTCGGACAGCCTCTGCACAAGAGTACGATGAATCCCTCCACATTTTTGGCGGGAGATTCACTCACGTTCCGTCCTTACTATCGATAGAAGTAGTGCGGGACCAGTCACGGTGTCGGGGGCTTACCTGCTGGCCGGTGCGTTGCTTGCTCCTGCCCGAGAAGGTGGGGGCTGATAGTCTGCGAGGTTCAATCGTGATGTGAGTTGGCCAGCCGCTGCCTTCTCCGTGTTGACAGTGTAGGCGTCCTCGACTGCGCCCCACTGCTGCGCTACTGCCTGGGTCCCACGTACTTCGCATGAGGATCCTTGCAGGCTAGTGTGCTCACTGTGTTGTGTAGCCGTGTTGTGGGTGTCGCCCCGCGCTTCACTGTTTCGCAACTGTGTTGCCCATCCGTTGGCCGAGCCCTCCGTGTGTATCCTGTAAGTTGGTTGGCTAGTTGCTGGCGCCTTGTGCTACGCTCCACAGTGGCCAACCTGCTAGTTCGCTCGTCCCGTTGTCTCCTGAAGTGTTGTTGATGGTTTCTGCTCTGCGACAGACGTGCATGGTGGCAGGATTGAGGATGTTAGGTAGAGCAGCAGCGGGCTAGCTATAAGGTGCAGACGCGGTAGTCAGCTGGTGGGGTGCCGTTACTGCAGCATGAGGAGGGCCTTGTTGGCATGTTGAGCTTACTGCAGCACCATCACCACTCGCTGCCCTTCGTGTTAGCTTGTCCCAGCGCGCTATAACTGTTGGTGGTGGTTGTGATCGTCGTGCGCGGTGCGATGACGTATTAAAGACAAGTACCTTACACTGCTACAACACTTTGCGACTGCACTCAAGTGCTATACGTGTGATGTTTTGTCGGGGTTCCGCGAAGCTACCTGCGTTTCGGGGTACAGCGTAACAACGACTGTTGTAGGGGGAGGTGTCGGGACTTAGAGAAGTGAATAGACTAGAAAAAGGGGGTCATTACTGCGATTTGGGAGATCATCAGGAGGGTTGGGCTCAGCGGTTTGACTTTGGCTTGACCAAGCTCCTGCGATTTGGCTGCCATTGCGGGACCCTCAGGCGCGTCAAGATACCAAGGTCCTCTCATGCGAGTCTGAGTGCACCTCTCTTGGATCTGAGAGTCTGAAACCCCTGCTTTTACCCTTCTTACTCTAAGTCTAATCTTGTTCTGAGAGGAAGGCGGCAGGCGGGATTGCAACCCGTAGGACCGCAGCAAGGCTTTGTGGGGAGTCATCCCAACGATTGCGGGAGCTCTGCCGGAAGTCAGGAGGAGTTCTGGAGGCAGGGAACTGACAAGTAGCCATTGTTTTCCTTCCATAAACTCAGGTATAACCCCTATCTGTACATCCTTCTATGGTTGGCTGAGTGCATTGCATGTACCCCTATCTTGACTTTAGTTTGACCTTCAAGACACAAGTCAGACTAAGTAAAGGAATGCGTGTGCAAGGGCAGTTTCAATTTTTTGATTGTCTGAAAGCAGATTGAGACAAGGGATTGCATCGGGGGGAAGGTTTGGAAAAAGGTGGTTGCTTGAGATTGGAGGGGTCTTATAGAGTCAGGCATGGTTCTATAAGTTTGGATGGCCTGACTGCTGTGTTTGTTCTGTTTTTCTGAAAAGGCCAAGCTTTGTTTCTAAGATGAATGGTTTGGCTGTGGTGTTTACTTCATTTCGTCAGGCTTTGTTTCTAAGATGAATGACCTGACTATTTGTTTTGTGGGGTCTTGATTGTGCAAACTTGAGGACCAGACATTGTTCCATAAGATTTGATGGTCTGGTCGCAGTTTATGTTTTGGGTGGTTCTTAACAGTCTCTGGGTTTAACTCAGAGTACTGTGCTTTTTTTTTTTTGTGCTGAGAGAAGAGGGTTGAGCTTTGTTTTTATGATGAATGACTCAACTCTTTTGTTTGTTTTATTCTGAGGGAGTAATTTCTGCTGAGGACAAACCATGTTCCATAAGATTCGATGGTCTGGCCCAATGCCTCGCACATGCTGGAACCCAAAAGGTTATAATTTGGCTATGTTTTATTATTATTCTACTTAAGAACAGGCTGGTCAGCTTGGGTCTCATAAGATTGGTTGGTCTGACTATAACTTATCATAAATGTGAAGAGAGTATAACTAAGAACATAATCGAAGGTAACTTGGGCAGGCTGAGCTTTGGTTCTAAGATGAATGGCTCAGTCTTACGCTCAACTTTTAAACACTAAGTTCAGAGATATATATAATTTGGATATTAAACAGTTAAGAACGACCAGACATTATTTCTAAGATGAATGGCTTAGTCATGTGCCCAAAGGAAGAGAAAAGTAGTTGTGCAACCTGTTCGTGTATACTTGATAGCAGAGTCAGGCATGTTCCATAAGATTGGATGACCTGACTTTACGCCGTATGTAAGCAGGGTATAAAGGGGTAAACCATTGAAAGATTATGAATTATTGTCTGTTAAATTGACCTTGGGATGGTGAGAGTACTTACCTTTGTGGTTTGGCCTTGCATGTGGCTGAGTGAGATGGATACTTAGCCTAAGTTCAGTTTGATAGGTAGTTGCTTTAGTCGCTCGTCACGTGCTAGTCATGTGCCCAAAGGAAGAGAAAAGTAGTTGTGCAACCTGTTCGTGTATACTTGATGGCAGAGTCAGGCATGTTCCATAAGATTGGATGGCCTGACTTTACGCCGTATGTAAGCAGGGTATAAAGGGGTAAATCATTAAAAGATTATGAACTATTGTCTGTTAAATTGACCTTGGGATGGGGAGAGTACTTACCTTTGTGGTTTGGCCTTGCATGTGGCTGAGTGAGATGGTTACTTAGCCTAAGTTCAGTTTGATAGGTAGTTGCTTTAGTCGCTCGCCGTGTGCTAGAGCTATAGGAGTTGGTTTCAATTCCTGCATTTTCTGAGCTACGTTTTTTTACTTAGATCAATTATCGCATTTTCTGAGATCTTCTGTTATACTTGGCTTTGTATAAATTTTGGTAAGCTACTTTCTCTATGGGAAGCGTTGCCAAAATTTCTGCAAATCCAAGGAGTTGGTCAACTTTTTACTTTTCAAAGTTCAACTTGTCTAAAATTCATATATGGCTTAGTAAAAATCTGGGAAGTCTCATTTTTTAAAGGGAGTGCTACCCAAATTTTTGTTAATTCAGGGAGTTAGACAAAATTGGATTTTGAAAAGTTAAAGGTTATTTCTGTCTTGATATTCGGGCTGATATAAATTTTGGAAAGACACTTTTCTTACGGGAAGCACTGCCGAAATTTTCTTAGTTTGAAGGAGATAGATTTTATTTTGACAGGTGACGATTTTGGTTATCCACCCTCAATAGGGGAGATTCTGCCATTAGTCTACCTTTGATTTGGGCACTTGTTTAGGGGTAGACTTAGGCTTAGTTAGGTAGAATGATTCTTGAGTAAGATCACGATATGGAGACTATTCTCCATTGACTTATTGATCTAGCTTGGGGATTGGCCTATCTTGTCTTACAGGTCCTCTTAATCGTACTGATTCAGGATTTGGGTTAGTAGATTCATCTTGATCCTACAAGGATCATCTTCTGTTATCACTAGGTCGGTTGTCGATTCGTCGGTTTGCGATTCGACTCCAATTCACACTTGTCACTCAACCTAAAGGCTTTAGCCTTGTGGTTTGAATTGTTTCATTGTGTTTTCACCCAGACTTTATTGAATGACCGTTTAATAAAGTACTGAGTATTTATTTTGGGGAGTTGCACAAGAGTGAGGTTTGTATGGCTAAAGCAAGGGGTATGAGCATAGAGGATGGTTGAAATTGACCCCGTGTAGTGCGTGAACTTTTGTTGAATCTTTGATGTGATTGCATGTATGTTTGTGGTTCGGACTCTGGATGAGACTGT